CCTTGTTCTCATCAGGCCTCTGATCGAAGCCAATTCCCTGACTCCAGTCCTACTCTTCCTCACAGATCTACCAATCCAAAAAGAGCCTGTAAATCAGCAGAGAAAACACACACACACATACACACACACACATGCGCACACATGCACAACACGTGCACATACACACGTGCATACACACACACGCACACACATGCACAACACGTGCACATACACACGTGCATATACACACACACGCACACACACATACACACACATGCGCACACATGCACAACACGTGCACATACACACGTGCATACACACACACGCACACACACACACACGCACACACATGCACAACACGTGCACATACACACGTGCATATACACACACACATGCACACACACACACGCACACACATGCACAACACGTGCACATACACACGTGCATATACACACACACATGCACACACATACACACACATGCGCACACATGCACAACACGTGCACATACACACGTGCATACATACACACACATGCACACACACATGCGCACACATGCACAACACATGCACATACACACGTGCATACACACACATATACACACACGCACACACATGTACAACACGTGCACATACACACGTGCATATACACACATGCACACACACATACACACACACGCACACACATGCACAACACGTGCACATACACACGTGCATACACACACGCACACACACATACACGCACACACATGCACAACACATGCACATACACACGTGCACACACACACATACACACATGCACACACATGCACAACACGTGCACATACACACGTGCATACACACACACATGCACACACACATACACACACACATGCACACACATGCACAACACGTGCACATACACACGTGCATACACACACACACACAGGCTTCCTGCGTCAGAAAGCTGAGCAGGAAACCTCGCCGGTGGTAGAAATCTGAGCTGTCAGTCTGGCGCTAGGAGATGTTTGGGGTTGTTTGTTGTTTCTACTTACAGGTACCTGCTGGAGCCAGGCCATCCCTTTAAATGAGAAGAGCAGAGCTAGAAAGCGCCCCAACTTAAGGCCTGGAGAGCAGAATCCCTCTAAGCAGTAGCTTCTTCCTCTCCCTCACATAATTCCACAGCCTCTTACTGAAAGGGCAAGGAAAGAGACGGCCCAGCCAGGCAGGGGGAAACCTGACTGAGCTCAGGAGGAACAGCTGCAATAATAGCTCCTCTCCTACAAGTCTCCAGGACAAGCACGTCCTTCCTGACCCTTCCATTCACTCCAGATACGAGCACTATCCCAGGACAGGACTTAAAGCCACGTGAGTACAGGAACACACACGAGCACAGGGGGAGGAGTTTGGTAGAACTGTTGTTCCAGCTTGACCAAACATCTACCTATGCTTCCCAACCTCACAGGTTGTGACATTTTCAAATGATGGAGGGAGGAAAGGTGATAGAAGAGAAGGTGAGTTAGCCAAATGGAGATACCGATCAGGGTCCATGCTTTGGCTGGTGACGGAAACAGTCGTGGTGAGAGCAATCAGCAGGGACAAAACCCCTCCCTCCCGTGGCCTCTAAACAGCCTCCGTCTCACCTACAGAAAAATCAAAAGGGAGATACGGTGTTCGCCGAAGGCACATTCCTAAGGCCCTAGCACAATGTGGAGGACACGATAGGCCCGCTTGTTCTTTCTCCTCGTTTTCCCCTGTTCTTTCCTCATTTCCTTGTGCTAAATAAAATGACTTTAGAACCTGGGTGGGAAGTAGGGAGGAAGCCGTGAGTCCTGTCCTGATCTCCAGGCCTCGCATGTGAATTGGTTTTGCTGCTATAAGGAAAGGGCGGAAGGACAGCAGCTCAGCATCCTGTGGCTGTACACATTGAGTGAGAGGGACATGGCGGCAGGGCCTATCGAGGGTCTGCGTGGCCAGGAACCAGGAGGCAAGGAGAAAATGTTCTCTCTTCTTACCGGGAGGAGCTCTTTGCAAACTGAAATGAGACTGTCTTAGTGCAGAAGCCTACTTTTTTTTTTTTTTAAAGCTATTTTCACAAGAATTAATACCCGCTTCCTGCCTCCACACATCCATAACCCCGCCCTTTCAAAAAAGCAGGGCTGTCTTCTAGCCTCTGTCTCTCAGGCATTTTACTAGCGGGGAGGATGAACGGTTCAAGAGTCGAGGACATCACATTCGCTAAATGCCCCTAAAAGTTAGTGCGATGCCTCCCATCTCAAAGGCATCTTCCTGGAAATGATGCAAAGCGGAACGGCAAAGGACTGGGGGTGACCGGCTGTGTGACCTTGGGCAAGTGACTTAACTTGTCTGAGCCTCAGTTTTCTCCCTCCTAAAATCAGAGAAATCTTACCTCTGGCTGGGGAGGGGTGGTGAATCCCTCTCTGCTCATGCTTTCTGAGCTACTCTTCCATACCAGCCGTTGTCACATTTATCCTATCTTCAACTCTGATGAGAACCCAGTGAGAAAGGAACTATTCCTTGCTTCGAGAAATTTGGTAAGTGTGCATAGGGGTGAAGTGACCTGCCTCGGGGCAGAGACCTGGCCAGTTATGGATCTGGGGGGGCCAGGTTTCCTCCATGGCTGACACGTTTTCCATCACACCACAGCTGTCTCCTGATGGGCGGGCAGAATGCACACTCAGGGCCTTTGGGAAGTTTGAGGGTTGCGGAATGTGACGTGTGACTTCTCTGAGAGTTTAGACGGTGAGGAGGAGAGGAACGCCTTTCCTCTGTAAGCTTCCCACTTCAGGATCGTCCTGATGAGATCCTTGGTGGCCAGAATTTTCTTCTCTCCTTCTCTAGAGTCATTACCTGACCCTGTGAAGCAGAAAAGCCACAGATGACCCGCAACCCTCTGGGGACCGTTGGGGTGGGGGCTGAGCTGAGGGTCTTAGTCCCCTCAGAAACCCGGTTGACAGCCCTGCACTGCCCCTGCCTCTGCTCGGGCTCTCTGAAGGTCTGGGATGGAGAAGACCCAAGCACAACTGAGCAGCCAGTAGGGTGAGGTGGCAGCGGAGGCCGTGGGGCAGAGAACAGTGTCAAGGATGCATCCACTGAAGGAGTGGGTCAAGTGTGTCGCAGGAATTGGCGTGAGCATCCTTTAGCCTAGGAAGCCCTAGGTTAAAGTCTTTAAACTTGTAACGAGCCCTGTAACTCTCTTTTTTGTTTGTTTTGATTGTTTCTTTCTTCCTTTTTTTTTTTTTTTTTTTGAGACAGAGTCTCCCTCTGTCACCCAGGCTGGAGTGCAGTGGCACGATCTCGGCTCACTGCAAGCTCCATCTGCCGGGTTCACACTATTCTCCTGCCTCAGCCTCCCAAGTAGCTGGGATTACAGGCGCCCGCCACCATGCCCGGCTAATTTTTGTATATTTAGTAGAGATGGGTTTCACCATGTTAGCCAGGATGGTCTCCATCTTCTGACCTCGTGATCCACCCGCCTTGGCCTCCCAGAGTGCTGGGATTACAGGCTTAAGTCACCGCGCCCGGCCATAAGCCCTGTAACTGTTTAAAGACAAGGTGTTCACACATCCTTTCCCGAGCTTGCTTAGCTTTGGGACTTTCTTTACCCCCACAGAGCCCACTCCAGGAAGTGCTTACCTAGAGCAGTCCTCCCATTTCACAGATGGGGCCAGGGGAGGATGGGAACCCATGCAGCTTCTAAAATTGGCCGCCTTCTTGAGTCCCCCACATCCCTAGGGGACTTAGAACTACTCCACACCTGTTCCCAGGGCTTAGAGAAATTGTGTCTGGCTGCAGCTGTGATGTGTGGAAGAAAGGACATCTGTCTCCTCCTTTTCAGGGGATGGGGGTAAATGGAGTGGGGGGTGGGGAAGGGAGAACTAGGCCTCTTGAAAGGGAGGAATAATTTCACAGAGTAGAAGATCAAGACAGCTGGGCAGCGCCCCCGCCACCCCGCCCAAGAACGCTTTATGCCTCCCAGGTCTTAGCAGGGACCACCCAGATGACCTCTCAGGAAGCCAAGTCCCCGCCCCAACATCGAATCCTGCAGTTGTTAGGCCTAAAGAGACACTATCCCTGACCTCAGTTTCCCAATTTGCAAATGGCTCCTTTCTGAAAATGAAATCCCTTCCAGTGACAAACTCCCCAGGACCCCAGGCCCATGATAGCCTGAGCTGCATTCCAAGGGATCTGGGGAAGGAGCTCTAGCACCATCCAGTTTCCTGGGGGCATATGCTGAGCTCAGCCCAGGAGAGGAGAGGGGTTGGGAAGCAGCTACCGTCTGCCCCCTACCCACCCTGGCCCCCAGGCAATCCATTTTCCACTGGGTCCCGGTTCCTTATCCACAAAGTGGATCGAGGTCCCTTGTAGCGCCCAGAATGGATCTTCACCTCTACCCTTTTCCTAACAGTGTCAGGGATGGCACCAACCTGCTCACATTCAGGGAGTTAACTCCGGTAGGGGCTTGAGAAAGGTGATCCTCTCCCACCCTCTAAATGTGGGGGAGGACTGATTAGCCCCCTATCCCCTGGGATCACTGGGATTCCCATGGTCCTGCAAGAGCTAGATGGAAGGGTGCAGAGAAGGAAGCCAGGAAAAGCCCCTCCCGGCACCCCCTTATACGCCATTCCAGGACTTTGTCCTCCCAGCCCTGAACCCAGCCAATGCAGCTGTTCTCCAGATTCAGACAAAGACCTGACACTTCTTCCAACCGGGCCGAGCTGGGCAGTCCGTGGACGGGCGGTGGAGTCGGCGTGGCACAGAGAGAGGCCAGGCAGAGCCAGCGCCGGAAGAGTCTGCATGGCTCGTCCTCGGCTCCACGCCCTCCGTGCGAAGACCGGACTGAGATAGCCACGTTCTGTGGGGCCCAGTCTGGCCCTCGGCAGCTCTCCCCCTCCCGCTCTGCTCCTCAGCCACATGCCCTTGGGCTGAGCTAAGTCCAGAACCCGGCTGAGTAGGGGAATTGTTCTGAGAAAGTGGCCCGTTGGCTGGTTGCTATGGAAACCGACATACCACAGCGCTGACCCCGGAGAGGTTTAGCACGCTCCCCCAGCAGGGATGCCAGCAGCTGGACTGCAGCTGTTACCGCGGGAGTGGGGGCTGGAGCCGTCGCCAGCAGTCCCTGCTGTTTGCCTAAACTAGACCCTCCAGCAGATCCCCTCCATTAGCTCCCACCCCGCTCCTCCTCATGCGGCCTCCCCTACTGCTATGGACGGGAAGGGAGCGGCTGAGCCTGCCCTGGCAGGATGGGGGTGGGGTAGGATGGGGGTGGGGTGGGGTGGAGTAGGGGAGGTTGGCTCTAGAGAGAGGAGGTCTCCTTTATGAACCAAGGCACGTCCTTGAAGGGTAGGGCAATGTCCTCCCCATTGCATTTCTGGGGAAACTGAGGCCCAAGGAAAAATAGGAATTGTTCCCCAGTCACACAATCAGGGCATGCTAGAGCTGGGGTTGGCACCCAGCTGAGTCTAGAAGTGCCACACCACTGGTTCAGGCCCTCTGTGCTGTGCTCTTGGCCCTCCCTGCAGCAATTCAGCACACACTACAGAGCCTGCCCAGTGCAGACAGCAGCATTTAACCAGCATCACTCCTGGCACAACCTCAGGGAGGGCGGCAGGGCACTGATGACTGAACAAAAGGAGCACCAGGAAACAGATCATAGAAAGAGGAATACGTAGAGAGGAAGAGGAGGGTGTGTGAGTCAGGGAGCAGGAGGGGACGTGAGGGAGAGGGAAACAGAGAGGTAAGGAGAGGCAGAGAAAGTTAGAGAAAGAAAAAAGAGAGGTGATGAGGTGCCCAGAATGAGTGGAAAGAAAGGATAAGATCACCTCCCTCCCCCAGCGAGCTCCGAGCCCCTCCCAGCACAAAGCCTGTGGGGCAGAGAGAGGATTGCATCAGAAAGGAGGAGGGAGGAAGGGTGGGAGGGCTGCTTGGGGGAGCAGGGCAAAGGTGGAGTGGGTATTACAGTCTGTTTCTGGGAGGCATCTCCTGCCATCCCACAATGCCTCAAGCTCCCTGAGTGGCCTAGCACAAACACACTAGCCTGCCTCCCACCGTGATGTGGCACTTCTAGACTCAGGTGGGCTAATCTGCAATGGGACGCTAAGCAAACACCCCCTCAGTCAGAGAGATGAGATAGCACTACCCTCCCTGAGTGCCTGACCAGTCCTCCATCCTCACGCGTGGCTGCCAGAACACAAGCTTCCTTTCATTCCTCATGGTCTGTTCTGACCCTCATCCCCACCTCTCCAGAGTCATCACTCCTTCCGGCCCAAGGGGAGACGCAGCTGCGGAAAGAACCCCCCGCCGCCTCCACTGCGCCACTGTCTGGCCCCTACTCTTCAGCCCTTCCTCATCTAGAGCTAGATCTGACACCAAAGGCGTCTTGTGAGCAGGTGGGCCCACTTCTCCCCTCCAGAGCCCCACCATGGCTCGTCATGAATTAACACCCTTCTTAGTGCTCTTCCTCTCCAGCTGCCCTAAAATAGTTGGTTGCAGGGGACTGGAGGGCTGCTCTGCATCTCCCCGCGCCCTCCTGGGCTGTTGGGAAGTTGCTCTGTCTGTGAAGCCTTGGCTCCAGGGATGCCAAGGGACTCCGGGAACAGTTCGGAATGTGCCAACACCATTACACTCTGTAATTTAAGACCTGGCTCTGCAACGGGCCAGCAGATTGCTTTTGCACTTACACCACCTTTTTGACAAAAATTTGGTGTCTCAGGCCAGTTAATTCTATTATGTTTGCAGACTGGAAAGAGCGGCATTGGAGATGATGCTCTGCTCCCTCTGGCCATGCTCTCCCTTCTGAGCAAGACCAGCTGGTTAGTTGCAGACACTTAGCCTTGACTTGGGGGTGAGATGCCCTGCTGAGAGTATCACTGGTGCTCCTGCTTCTGGCCAGTGAGGTCACTGAAAGGCAGTTCTTGAACAAACGACCAACCCTGAGCCTACCACTGTGAGTGTGGTGGGAGCATGAGGAAGAAGTCTCCACAAGGACCCCTGTCCAGAAGTTTGCAGTCTCAGAGGCAGACAGGGCTGATCTACCATATGCAACAGAGACAGATCAGTGCTTAGCCGCAGGGCAGCCTGAATTGCACATTGCCTCAACTTGAGCTCATTTCTTAAGGCAAAGTGCAGACACTCACTTTGCGATCATGGTCTTCTGTGGTGGTGAGGCTGAAACCAGATCTACGAAATCATCCCAGCGGTGAACTCCAGCCAGAGCCCTTTCTCTGTTTCTCCTCTTTGGAAAAGACAGATAACATAAATATCTGACTCCAGGAGGCAGCAACATCCCATCCTGACAGCAAACATCCCTTTACCCCCTCTCCAGCCCTTCCAAGACAAGACATAGGCTATAACCCAGGACCCACGATCCAAATCGCCTTGGAACTTGGTCACATTCCACCTGAGAAATGACCAGTATGTACAGTTTCCAGGTCGTTAGCACAATCAGTATCTCATTTAAATCCCTATCACCTACTGTGCCATAGGTAATTATTATTATCATTTTATAGATGGGGAAAAAGTGGCCCAGGAAGGCGAAATGCTTACTCGAGGCTACAAAGCAGAAAGTAGCAAAGTCAGAAATTCACCAAGGCCTTCCACTGTGGGCCAGCTTCCTTCCCACTTCTCCATAAGGCCTCTTTGCTAGTTTCTCCTGTTTCTCACAGAATCTAGCATGTGGTGTTTGTTCAGTAAACATCTCTTGTACAGTAGGAAAACGTAAAGTTGTCCTGAAGGCCACAGTGAGACGTCCTCAGCCGTGTGTGTGTGTGTGTGTGTGTGTGTGTGTGTGTGCATGGAAGGGTGGGGGTGGCAGAAGATATAGTCTTAAAGGAAAACGGGACTGACCTACCACATGCAACTGATGAAAACCTGCAGCTACTGGGGAGATGTTACCCCCAAGCACTGAGCTGCCATTTTGAAGAGATGGTGGCAAAGGCAACTGAACTCGTCTTTACTTGAATTAACTTCTGAAATATCCTCAAAACTCCCAACCTATGTGAGCATCAAACACCTTTCCAATTAAAAAAAACATAAAACAGGCTGGGCACGGTGGCTCACGCCTGTAATCCCAGCACTTTGGGAGGCTGAGATGGGCGGATCACGAGGTCAGGAGATCGAGACCATCCTGGCCAACATGGTGAAACCCCATCTCTACTAAAAATACAAAAATTAGCTGGATGTGGTGGCATGTGCCTGTAGAAGCCTGACTTAGCTTCATATAAGTGGGGAAAAAATGCACATTATACAGCATGCAAAGAAGATATTAGGAGGCTGAGGCTGGAGGATCATTAGGAGACACTTAGGAGGCTGAGGCAGGAGCATCGCTTGAACCTGGGAGGTGGAGCTTGCAGTGAGCTGAGATTGTGCCACGGCACTCCAGCCTGGGTGACAGAGTGAGACTTCGTCTCACAAAACAAACAAAAACAAACAAAACCCATAAAACAAAAATTGGGCCAGGCATGATGATTCACACCTATAATCCCAGCACTTTGGGAGGCTGAGGCTGGAGGATCACTTGAGGCCAGGAATTCAAGACCAGCCTGAGCAACATAGCAAGACCCTATCTCTAGAAAAAACAAAGAAAAACTAGCCAGGCATGGTGATGGGCTTGTAGTCCTTGTCAGGGAGGCTGAGGCAGGAGGATCACTTGAGCCCAGAAGCTGGAGGGTATAATGAGCTGTGATTGTGCCACTGTGCTCCAGATTGGGCAACAGAGCAGAGCCCTGTCTCTTTTTTTAAAAAAAAGAATTAGGCTGGGTGCAGTGGCTCACGCCTGTAATCCCAGCACTTTCGGAGGCCGAGGCGGGTGGATCACGAGGTCAGGAGATTGAGACCCCTTCTCTACTGAAAATACAGAAAAATTAGCCAGGCGTGGTGGTGGCTGCCTGTAGTCCCAACTACTCGGGAGGCTGAGGCAGGAGAATGGCGTGAACCTGGGAGGCAGAGCTTGCAGTGAGCCGAGATTGCGCCACTGCACTCCAGCCCAGGTGACAGAGCAAGACTCCGTCTCAAAAAAAAAATAATAATAATAATAAAAATGAAAAAATAAAAATGAAGACTTAAAAAAAAAAGAATGGGGGTGGGATGGGAGAGTTAGGATGGGGTTGGGACAGTCAACAGAAAACAGGGTGTGTGGTGAGGCACAGTAGGTCAGTCAGCAGACAACGTGTGAGCCATAGCAGACCCCCTGCCAGCCTGCCCATAGCAGAGTCCACGGCCCAGTGTGGACCAGGCCTTCAAAGCCAAGACAGGTGGGCCATTCCCAGGATCCCAAAGGAAGACAAGCCAAGGATGCCCTTCAGCTGAAGGCAAAGGTAAAGGGCCACGCAGAAGTCCACAGGTCAGCCTCAGTGTGGGGAGCAGGGACAAAAGGCCTCATTGGCGTAGATGCCTGGGACTGCTGATATGTAGGGGGGCCAGGGTACAACTGAGGTACTTAGGGTGACTAATGGAAAGAGACCCAAGTCTAAAATCACTCAGGGAGTGATTTTAGAACCAGAGCCACAAGCTGGAACAAAAATCTCACTTTATTGGTCACTTATTACAGAATAAAAAAAAAATTGTCAGAGCTGGCAGAAATCTCAGGGATTACCTTATACATGTCCTGGCTCAGTGTCTAGAACATAGTGGGTATCCAACATGCGTCTTAAATGAGTGAATGAATGAATGAATGAATGCATGAATGAATGTATTCTCTCATTTTAAAGATAAGCAAAACTCTGGGACCTAGAATTGATACTCACAATGATGTGTAAAGACCCTGGATTTTGAAGAACCTCCTGAATCATCCAGGAAAAATTCATGCTCTGTACACTTGTTAATTGCCTTTCAGTGTCATGATCGAGAATGAATACTCTGGATTTGGTGGCTGGCTCCTTGTGAAGAAGAATTCAATCAGATTCCATTTGATTAACCTGCATTGAGATCCTAGTACATGTCCGACACTATGCAGAAATACTTCACTCCCTCTTCCATGGCAGACCACGATGAACTAGGGTTTGCTGTTTTCACGGCTTCTGTCACTGTTGTAGCTGAGACTGAGGCTGCAGCAGGAGCTCCTCTGGCCCCAAGGCAAGAGACATGTTCTCTGCATCCCCAGAGGACCCACAGCAACTTCTGGTTTGGGTTAAAGAGGACTTGGGTGACCCCACCCTGCCAGTCATCCACCCTCTGGCAGCCAGGGCAGCAGCAGGGGAGGGGGCAGGAGGGCCACAGTGCTTCTCTCCCCTGCCATTTCCTCTGCAGCTCCCTCTCTGGCCCTGTTTTTCAGACCTCTAGTAATAAAAACAAGCCAATAAAATGAACATGAAAATATATTCATTAGGATTTATAATGCTCATTAAAACTGCCTGTGTACGAAAGCATGACTTAGCTTCATATAAGTGGGAAAAAAATGCAAATTATACTGCATGCAAAGAAGATATTTCCGTAATCGTCCAATCAAATGCCAGCCCAATTATCTGTGGCCAACCCAATGGGTTAAAATTATACTCTCTTTCCTTGGACACAGTGAGGCGCCTGAAAGTGTTTCATTTTAATAAAAATGAAATCTGGACCCTGCAGAAAACCAGCTTCACTAATGACGTGTTTACACAGAGAAAGACAATTTCTAGTTAATGGTGATTACTACCGAGAACAAATTAAACTTCCCGGAGTATATGGGTTAGAGATAATGGGAAAGAGGGGGAAAAAGTTATGGTTTTAGTATGTGTGTGGTGCTTGAGGGGACAGGGTGACAGGAAGAAAGAAGCTAAGGAAAGTCTACGAGGAAGCTGAGGTTGCAGGGGTGCTGGGGTGGGAGTGGCAGGAAAAAGCTTTGGTGACTGGCTGCCCTGGTTCTACCAGGGTTGGGGCCTGACAATAAGGCAGTAGGGGGCTGGCAGCTGGCTCTGGGGTCCTAAAACCCCAGGGATGGCCATCTTCAACTGCGGCAGGGCTGAATTCTTTCTGCGAGCTCAGGTGCCCTGAAGCCTGCCACTTTTCCTTCTTGGGAAGCAGGTTAACAAATCCCTGCCATTAACAGTCACTGAAAGTGCTTCCTACTCCACACCACTGGCTTAGTGATGAGACCAGAGGCAGGCCTGAGCCTCTCATGCAAAGCCTAAGTGAGCAGACAAGCTTCAGAGGGGCAGCAAAATGGAAGCAAAACAGACAGGAGACAGAATGCTAGAGAGACAATGATGATGAAAACGGCAACCTAAATTTACCTACCCTTTACTAAGTCCTTGCCATATGGCAGGTACTATTCTAAAATGTCATCCCTTTTCATCCTTACCTGTGGGCAGGATAATCAGCTGCTGCTTCTTCATTTTTACAGCGGGAAAACTGAGGCTGAGAGAAGTTACTGACTGCCCAATGTCAGATTCTTAGTAAGTGAAGAAGTTGGATTTCAAATCCAGATTTGTTTGATTGCGAAGCCCGTACTCCTAACCATTGCTGGAATAAACATGGAGGTATCCTATTGGGATCGGGCAGGCCTTGAAAACAGCCTCCAGCTCACTGGCCGGACCCTGCACTCGACTTCTTTGGCCACTGGAGGCTGGTTTGACCATTGGAGGCCATGAAGATGTTCTTTCAACAGCATAATCTCAGAAAGTACCAGATGGTTCCTGCTTCCCCTCTCCCCTCTCCCTCTCCCCTACCAACTAAGAGCAGGTGAGCCAGCAGGGACAGCGAGGAGGGAAGGGAGCAGGGATTCCTCTAGTGTTGAGTTTTAATGTATATTCTTTTGTAAACAAGAACAATCATTTGTGAACAGGCCCAGATGCAAACAGTCCCCAAATCAGGAATTCCAGCTCAGAGGCGCAGAATAATACAGCTTTGGGGAAGATTTAATAATAGTAAAATTAAAATTGTAACTGAAGCATAATGAAGAATGTGGTACAAACAAGCACTGCAAAGAAAAAAAAAACAACAACAACAACAAAAAAAGCAAACCCTACACAGATTAGCCCCTATGGAATAGTGATTGGTTGAGAGCAACAGTAAACAATGCACAGAAATGCAACTTAATTATCTCGCAATTCTCAACATTCTACCAAAGCCACAAGGAAAGCTTTGATGTTGGCAGCCGAGACAGAGGCGCTGCAGTGGAAGCAGCAGCTTCTCTCTCCCCTGCTCCTGGAGGAAGATCATTACTAAGAAATCTGCAGCCACTACAGCAGCTGAGCCAGAGAAGAGCAGCAGGACTGATCTGCTGAGAAACCAGGAAGTGGCTATCCGGAAAAAAAATGGTCTCTCGGGGGCTGCCAAGTCAGTGGGTTGGTGAACAAAAGGGAGCTCTGAGGATCAGGGGCTCAAGGATAAGGACTGGCAGGGGAGGCACCGCGGACCACCAATCCCCAGAGATAAGTGGGAACCTGGGGCCTGGCAACCCCAGCACTGGCTTAGTGGCACCAGGTACTCTCTGGATGGAGTCTGGGTGCCCTCCCCTGCCCCCAAATGCACACAGTGGGTACTACCTGGTCAGGAAAGCCTCCCTTCTTCCCGATTTTCACCTGAGATGCCTGCCCAGGGTTTAGGGTGGTGGGGAACAGTCCCAGAGGAAGGAGGACACTTCATTCTGAGTCAAATGTCTCTTCTAAAGGTGCTTCTGATGCACTTCTGAAGAGACAGACTCAGTGGGCAACCCATACACAGAAACTCAGTCCTGGAAGCCCCCTTTTTATCTCTGCTTGACTGATGTCCTAGGCAGGCTCCTGGCTTTGTTAAGTTGGGCCCTGAAGTGCCTTGGAAACTGTGTCTTGGCTCTTCCCCTGCTCATGGAATGGGGAGGCTGTTGTAGTTCCCCAGCCGTTGCCATTGCCCTGGAATAAAATATTTTCTGTGGCTTCTCAGTTCTGGAAGTTTCACCCTGACGTTCTGGGAATCAGCCTGGAGTCCATCCCCACCATCTTCCCAGCAGGCTATGTTCCCTCATTTCCTGAGATTGGAGAACTCAGGCCCCAGGAGCATCAGAGGAACAGTCCTGGTCTTTCTCTATTTCTTTTACTCATGATTCCACATTTTGATGAAAGGAGGTCATGGAGCCCTCCAAGGGGATACTGGTGAAAACTGAGGTAGCCTATACTAGATGCAAGACTTCTAGCTGTGGGCCAGGGGCTGGGAAGGGTAGAGACTGTCTCAGTATTGATTACCTTTATTTGGAATGCTGAGCTTGGGAGACTGGTGTGTTGGTGCTGGGCAGAGTCTCTCCAGAACCATGCTCATTTGGCAGGGCGACTTCCAGAAATGCACAAAGCCTGTCCCCCACCTTACCCCCCACCACCTTCAAACAACCACCCTGTTACTCTCTAGTCAGTCACCCTGAATGTGACTTGGACAGCTCTTGTCTCATTCTGAAAATATCTGGTTCATTTGTTTATTTATAGTTGATTATCCAATCCCTTTCCCCACTAATACAGAAATTCCTTGAGGGCCGGGGCCTTGTTGGTGCCATTCAGCAATGTAGCCCCAGTGCCTGGCATGGGACAAGCTCTCCATAAGCATTGATTGAATGAAAGAACAAAATGCCCAGGTTGCTCCCATAAGAGCCAGGGTCAAGGGCCTCAGGACCCACTGTCATCCCTGTCCTGCCTTTGTCAGTCTCATCCTGGGGGTGGGCTGGGCTCATCTCAAATGCCCAGCCTCATGATATGAGTGAGGCTGGAGCTCAGGGCAACGAGGGGTCTTGTGGCATCATGGAAATGCTCCTGGAGTCATGGAAATACATAGAGAACAATGGAAACACGTAGAGAACACTCACTGGGTGGGTCCAGACACAGCTCTGAGCCCTGGGTGTGCGTTCACTCGTTTCATCTTCACAATGCAGATGTTTGATCCTGCTAAAGCCACGAACCAGCCAGGTGGCCAGGATAGTCACTTTGCCTTCTGGGCAGCCTTATTTTTTCATCTATAAAATGGTGGTAAATGGGCATTAATCTGGAATACTTGCTAGACAGCAAACTCTGAAAGGACAGGGGCTGTGTATCATTCACTGTTGCATCCTCAATGTCTAGCACAATGCCGGTGTGTGGTAGGTCTTTAGCACATGTTTAGGAAGTGAGTAAAGTGATTTTCCATTTAGATCCATTCCAGGATTCTAAGACTTCTTACCCTAAACCATCCACTGTTCAGCAGTGTGCAGGCCACTTTCCATCCCCATCTGCTGTTTCCAAGAGCCCCTTGGAACCTCAGACTTAGAATTCAGCTGGACACTGTCATGAGTGTTACGGAAGGTGAGGCGGGAACAGGGCTCAGCTCTGGAGCGGGAGGAAAAGAAGGTTGGCTAGAGCAGGCAGGGGACGCCATGTTACTCACCTGTACCTGGGGCTCAGCTGTGACCCAGCTTGGATGACAGGCAGTGTCACAATGCGGTTGTGATCCCCTACACAACCTGTGCAGGGTACAGGTATTCAAAACAAGCCAGTGAGTTAGGCAGGTCAGAACTGATTGTTCTCTTCATTGTGCAGATGTGAAACTGAGGCTCCGAATGGGTAAGCCACTTGCCCAAGGTCACACAGCCATTTAGTGACCAGATCTCAAGACCAGGACTCCTGGTTCAGACCTGGGACTGCGTTCCCTTTTTTTTCTCCCCTCGCTGACCTCAGGCTGATCCCACTGGGTGAGGAGGGAGCTGCTGAGGAGGTGGCACCAGCCCCTTGGCAGGGAGGTGGTGTGGGTAGAACCTCCAGGAACCCCATTTACCCTTTGCAGCCCTGGCAAATGGCCATCAGTGCAGCATCTGAGATTCAGGGACATGGAAGCCATTGGTGAGTTTTTACACTTGGAATATAAAAGAGACATTTTTTTTCTTTGTAAAAAGTGGTTTGGAAATTGCCCTGGTGCTAAATTTTTGCTGAGGACGTCAGATGTGTACACCTCTTCCCTTCAGTTGTCTAATGGCACAAGTGGTTCGCATCTCCATTTGTTTGTTTCCTTGGTGTGTGCGCTCTTCAGTCCCTGGGAGCCGGAGGAAGCCTGGTGTTACATAAGCACCTCATCAGGATAAACATCCAGCCAGACACGGCTTCCTTCGATGCTCCCACCCAGGAGGAGCACTTATCCCAACCCCCACACTTCCCCAGAGTGCAACGAGAGATTTGTGTTCCTGACAACTGCCCCTTATTACCAAGTGGGCCCCTGGGAAGAGCTGAGTCCAATCGGGGGCATATCTAGACGCCTTGCTGCTCCTGTGATGAAGGGAACCAGGGGGTCCTCTTTGACTCCGACCTCCAGGGTCCCTCCTGAGCATCCTGGCCTCCCTAATAGCATTTATTTATTCATAGAAAGCCCACTGGGTGCCAGGCTCTGTGCTGGGTGCCAAGGATAGAGAGGA